CAGAGAGATGAGAAGGTACACACAATCACGAGCACACTCGGGGAGCACACACAGTCTACAGGCGGTCGCTCAGGTTTGTTTACTTTAGGTAAAGTAGCAGTGCTTTAGTTGCTTTCTGCGCAACTGAGGCAGATGCCCAAGGTCCTAGTATCTTCTGCACACAGAATGGTCTGGGGTCAAGTTGATTCAAAACCATCCGGAGCTGGCATCGCTGTGTGTCGTAGGAAGCGCAGCTGCACAGGAGGTGTTCGATGGTCTCTTCAGCTCCACAGTAGTCGCATGTAGGAGTGTCTGCCATACCAATGCGAAAGGAGTACTCCTTTGTAAATGCAACACCCAACCAAAGGCGGCATAACAGTGTCGCATCGGAGCGGGAAAGTTGTGATGGTAGCTTTAGCTTGAGCGAAGGATCCAGTTCACAAAATTGACACCTTTGGAAGCTGGTAGACGACCAGAACGTGCGTGTGAAATCTCGAGCCAGCAGGTAAAGTTGTCTTGCTGCATCATTCCTTGATAGAGGAATCGGGACTACACGGGTTCCTTCATGGGCTGAGCGGGCTGCATCATCGGCTAATTGATTTCCGGTAATACCGATATGTCCAGGCAGCCATTGATATATAATATCATGCCCTCGTGCACATACGTTTCACATACGTGAAACGGCTCAAGTAACGTGTTACTCAAAACCAACGGTTAGCGTTCACTGTAGAATTTCGTTGTAACATGAACGCAGCAGCGCTATATAGTAACTTGTTGCAATACTCCCAACGATCACTATCAGTGCTGTTAACTCCGATTATTTCAGACGCAATTTGTTAACCTCGCTCATTTGTTTTTCCATAAAAGCATTCCCGCACTTGAGCAGTCACTACAACGAAAAATATTGCCATTATAACTACATAACTAGCCTGATAAATAATACCGGTGTCACACGACAAATTTGATTACAATAAGGGCTTATTCTAATCAGGCTCGAGGCGGAAAAAGTGCTGCAACATCACACTCTTAATCGGGATTCGGGCCCAATCTGGATCATGGTGATAACGATGTGCACTTCTAGATCTTGCTCCCAGATTGCAATTTGACTGATGCTCACGTCGAACTCAATCCGGATCATAGTTTGAACAGTGCAACACGATGCCGAGTAGTACCTGTAGAGGGTTGACGTTTGTTTCGGCAGTTTCAACTTATTCATGACCTGAATGCCCCTTATTTATTATTACTGGGAAACTAGTCGTTCTATCACGCACACGATTTGACGTCATCATAATCATTAGTGATCTGACCACGCCCACTGCAGGATAATGGCCACTGCCATGTCTTTTGATGCTGCGCGCTTAGTACAATGCCTGTTCAGGAAAACTAGTATGCACCAACGTCAGAAAAGTCATGAAGGTGGGCATGCTTTGAGTGGCACCGAAATAATATACTGAACTTACGTAGTAAGAGGGGAGTTTTTTTTCCTTGCTTTTTCACTTCTTGATCCACCAAAAAGCAAGAAGTGTTTTCTCTGGTAGCTTTTTAATTCATTATCATATAGGGAGTTCCCCGTCGCCTTGAGATTTGTGTCACTTTTCACACCCACAATGCTATTCTACGCACTTAGCTGGTAAGCAGTATTCGAACACCGCAGGAGTTTTTCGAGCGTTGACACGGTGCTTTCCTGTCCGATATTGTCTCCGACGCTCTTCGACTCGTCGGTAGCAAACAAATGAACGCTTGAAGGGAAAAATGCGAGCAGCAGTTTGTCTTCATTTGGGCATCCGGAATGGGCGACGGGTATTGTGCAAGCGGCGAAACTTTTTCTATTTCTTCCTGTACTGATTTCCTGCTTCTATGCACAAACCAAACTGAATACTAGAACTGCAGTGTTTCGCCAGGGAAACAAATTACACCACAGCGAACCCTACGCAGTAGTCGACACTTACTCTGCGACTCTGGTGACAAGGTATATGGGTATCCCACATCGTAACGCTATTCTGTTGCGCACTTTTGTGGATTACGTTTCGTGTAGGCTATGACGTTATTTATTTTTTCGTTCCTCAGGTATTGTACAAACCTGTTTGCGATAAATAAAAAAAGATCAGTCAGATGCTGTGACCCCATGACTTGTGTGTGTTGTTTTTTGTCTATACATACTGCTTAATGCTGCGTGAATCAAACACCACAGCTGACACACGACCTAGGTAGGGAGAAAGCCTCGGGGTTCCCGGAAGTTTCGGGATACCTCTGACTTTTCCCGAATGTTGGAGACGTGGTCTAGTATTACGCCTTTCATCATGAAGTTGTTTATACCAGCTTTGGTTTCTAGTACCTTGAAACGTGAGAGCATGCAATGACTTTTATGTTAGAAACCTTGTCGCATGAACTGTTATAAAAAGTAACTCTCGTAGGGAATCTTTTTCGGGTAATTACAGTGTTTTGGCAGTGTCAGTTTACCGCGCCATAAGTATACGGTAACGCTGTGCCGTCGTCGTATGCAGGTAGTATTTTTAAGATCTTTTATGCACGCGAGTAGCTCATTGTGTACAATGTAACGTGATCAGATTATCAAAGTGGATAATAGATGTTCTGCCGGCTTAAAAAGATATACGCACCAGCCCAGACGATAAACCGGTGCTGCTAAAATACCATATTACGGCCGTAGTGAAAGATGATCTACCCAAGATGATAACTTCTTATAGTATGTTGCCATTTTGTACATAAGTCATTTTCTTAAGCAGTAGTCGATTACCGCATTGAGCTGAAATGGGCCGAGGAATAACATCCCCAGTGCTATATTCACTGTTAACGGAAAACTTCAAGCCCTTTTTTAAAACTGTGGGGGTCGCTGTCTCAACAGTATTAACGCGATAGCGTTAAAGAGCTCGTTTCGCACAAACTCCGGTGTCGATGTCATTTGGTTGTGAGCGAAAAATTCTCATTGTTGCGTGCCAGAAAAATCGGCCATCCTTGCGTCACTGAAAAATAAAAGATGCAAATAAAATCATAGTAATCGAAAATTCCGGGTCTAAGTGGGACTCGAACCCTGGTCGTCAGTGTGGCACGTGAGTAGGCTACCACACAGCCACGCCGCCGTTTGCGAATGCAGTGAAAACAACTTCCTCTGCCTTAGAAATGCAATGCAAGTAACTTTCGTGCTATATAAACACGCGCGTCCTGTGTCTATATTTCACAAAGCAACATGAAATACTACCGCAATAATGCGTGGGACAAGCGTACATTGCCATCCCATGTTAGTACATGGAATTACCATGGCTTGATAGCCTGCAGTCACCCACTACAAAAGTCACACAATCTACTGCACCCTTAAATTACGTATAGTTGGTGCATAGCAGGTAAGAAAATATTTTACACATAGTGTTTGAAGTACGCACTAGGAACAGAATATCGCTATCGCATTGCAGCGCCTAAAGGCGATGCTAAAGGGTCCCCTAAATTTTAGATATACATGCTAAAACAGTAACAACAACATTAGCGGTGATGTGTATACTCAGAGAAGGCGGAAAGTTTCAGGCGACAATTGGCGTATTTGCACTGTTTCATTTTGCTTTTAGATATGAGCACTTTCACACGTTGTCAATTATTCTTCTTTTAACGTAAGAGTCTAAACGAAATCAGCAGCGTCTGACGCAACTGAGAGTGATGACACTTGTCCTTAACGTTGGTGAACGGCAAAGACTGTCAGATGTTTTTGTCGCTGAATTGTAGGCAGTGCAGGACACTTGACGGCAAAGAAGAAAAGTCCGTCAATTGGATGGTTAATTCAGACAGCCGGCACGTATTACCAAGTTAACTGTCATCCCCGCTACTTTATTCTCGGCATGGCGACCTATCTCACGTAAGCGGGGCAAACTTTTCGTTCCAAGACAAGCGATTCCTTACACTCACGACAGCTGAACTTCGATGCGATGTTGCTTTCGATTCCTTTTCTCCTTTTATCTTCCTTGATTGTTTTCGACCCAGCAAGGAGAGAATCAGGAGGTGTGCCCGAACGGTGATATGAAGGCTGTTGAGCTGTTGAACACTATACACGTGATCCGGGTAGGTGCAACTCGCTGCTTTCCTGCGGTGTTTTTCAAAGGAACAATGATGGAGAGCTTACCATCTCGTGTTCCTGACGCACAAATAAGCAGGTCAGCTTCTAAAGATAGCCGCATCAATTCGGGTTGAAGTACGTACTGGACTTAAAGAGAAAACTGGTTGGGACGAAAACAGCGTAAACGAGCATGACAAGCGAGAGGCATGTCAAATTATCCGAGTTGTAGCCGGTTTGCTACCCTGCACAGGAGAGAGAGAAAAGTGGAGGTAAAGAGTAGAGAAATCTAGGGGGCAAGAGAAAACGAGGGATGCGCGCACACGCTTGTCAGCGTGAACCACCCCTCACCCAGACAGTCCCAACTGAGAAACATTTATATCGGCTTTCTATGAAGTTTGTTTCCCATGAGCTATACAGTTGTGCAAATGACGTTTTTTTTACATATATTTATTAGTAGCATATACAAAAGAGCAAATAAGCTGCAAAAACGGAAATCCTAGCTTTATTTCTAGAAGAAAACGAGTGTCCACATATGTGGACAGTAGGAACACCAGTTACACAAGGTGAAACTGCTCGAAGCAGTTTGTGGGCCCATCTACCTCAATGCACAGGTAGACTTTGCACTTCTTGCACTGCATACGGGTTTTTCGTTTGCACTGTGACATTTCGCAGCGTTGAGCGTTCGGTTGGGCGATTTTCACGGGTATGTGATTTACACAGTCGTACCGCACTGCACCATGAATGTCCGAGGCTCGATTGGAGAGTGAGGTGGAGCTGACGTCTCTTTCTTCTTCAACATCCACCGCTGCCTACGCAGCTTTCATCAAGCCCAATGCAATCTGCAGCTTGAAGTGAGCCAGTTGCATCACTGATCCCTTTGTGGCACGACACAATAGCCAACTGTTTACGACGGCTAGATCGAGCAGGTGAAAAATGATTCTCTTATACCATTTTTTCGTCTTCAGGTCGTTCCTGTAAAGGCAAGCAGCTGGTCTGCCCTGTCTACACCACCCATACTTTGGTTGTAGGCTTTCACAAGGCTGGGTCTCTGGACATCAACGAAGGATTTCTTCTTTCGGTCATACCTCCGACAAGACCCCACAGGGTTCACACTGTGCTTGTTTGATCCAATCGTTACAGTTCGGTTGTCATACCACTGACAGATCACAATTCCACTGTCTTTTTCGTGGCGGAAATCAAATGAGCCACGCCCATTTGTTTTGAGCTCCTTTTCATTTTGCAGGGGACAGCGACCAGTCCTCCCGCTTCTGAGAGTTGAAGTGCATCCCAGATCACGCTGTTTCATTTCAGCAAGGAGTTCAGCAGACGCGAAGAAGTTGTCGCAGAAGACTTCTTTTCCTTGGCAGCCTTCTGTCAGACGTACCACTATCTTCCCACTTTCGCCAATTGCATGATGAAGGTCCGCCGGCTCAGAGACGAGGTTGTCACCATACAGCTCGAACCGGTACACGTAACCTGACCTACCAGCTAACGTCCATACTTTGTAGCCCCACTTTCTTAGTTTTTTCTGCATGTAGTCTTTCAGGCTGTGCCTAACTTTGAAAGGAATCATCATTTCGTCCACCGCCAAACATGGCTCCATTTCTGCGGCAGCCAAGAAGTTTCTGTTTAGGCGTGTGAGAACGGGGCGCACTCTGTACAAGCGGCCATACCCATCCTCTCCTTTCTTCTTCTCGTCGTCGTTGTTTGCGGCGTGGAAAAGAGAAATGATTTCATCAAACCGGTTGCGAGACATACATTCTGCAACGTGGGTTTGACGCAGGAGTCGCGACCAATACATCCGCCTGAAAGGTAGGCACGCATCTGACATGTACAGAACTATTCCTAGAAATTTCCGGATTTCATCCACTCTTACAGGCTTCACCTTCGTTTTGTTGTTCTGAACCCGGAACCGATTGGTCTCAAATGTTAGGTGCTCAACTAAACCATCGTCTACGAGCTTCGAGAACATATGGAGGGGTGTTTTAGCCTCTTCCGGGGTAACCAGCGGCACAAGTTCACTCTCGGGAAAGCCTTCGTTGATAGGGAAGTCTTTTTTCGCCCAATGCCAAATCTTCTTCACCTTGTTTTTTACTGTGGACGATTGCTGCACTTCTAAGTCTTCATCGTCCGATGAGTCCTTTATGTACTCGTCGATGGGGCCTTTGCTTGATGGCTCTGCTTCAACGCGTTCATCATCGGAGCTGTCCAAATCAGAACACTCGCTTCCACTGGGCCACTCGAAAAGGATAGCTTGTATGTCTTCATCGCTTAGCCCACGTCTGAAATAAAGTAGATAAAGTCTAAGTCGAACTTATAAATACCGTAGTTCACCCCATTACAGATAAAAGTTTGTTAGAGTCGCGATGTAGCGAGGCGCACTCCAGTACCGTGCGGCGTTCTATCAACGTACATTTCGCGCAACTCCCTGGGCCTGGCGTCCACACACGTGGACGTCGCCACGGCAACTCGCTTTACAAAAGATCTACCGCTTGTCTTGCAACAAAACTTGGACATAAACAAGATACACGCTTCCGTTTTCTGTTTATTACCAAATATTTCACAAATTATTAGGAATTTAGAGGTAATATACCAAAAAAGTAGAGGTACTTACCTTGCGGCGCGGCTAGAGGAGGATGCCATGTTCCTGTGCGCATTTGCTGCTGTTTCTTGACAGCTACCGCCATCTGGCGGTGTTTTTATGAAACGCCTGATTGGCGCGAACGTTTGAACTCGATTTTGCGGTGAGGCGTTCGCTACAACAGCAAAAATTCACTGATATGTTTTGTCCACATATGTGGACGCTGGGATACAAAGTCAAACTGATGTCAAACCAGAAAGCGCCAGGCCTACAGAGCGCACCGCACAGCCAGAGTGCATTTTAGGTTCTTTAATTATGATAGCGTTGTGCTTCTAACGGGTCGCTTAGTTTCCAGAACCAAAAAGGCCAAAGTGCTCACCCGGGTGGTCACTTCTTTCGCTGCAGTCGTGCACTCGTTTAAAATACTGCAGCATCGTTTATATTAATCTGTTTATCCTATATACTGATGTTTATCTCATGTAAATATTTGCCGTTCAAAAGGTTTTGATGCCGTAATTTTCCGTCAGAGAAATCATACCACCTACGTTTTCGAGTGAACATAACTAAATTTTAAGTGGTTGGTTGGGTGGCTGTTCCTCAGAGTCCTGGCGCTACTCAAGTGATTATCTCCTACTTCTTTTTTTATCGGGTATTAAGCCTCATAGTCGTCAGCGGTAACAAGTTTTCCTTAATAGGTGCTATTCAAGCACAACCTTGATCTTCTCATTACCCCTGCCAATACAAGATATATAACGGTCCCTCGTTGTCTTAACTGCACTCAAGCGTGCGTTTGTACACGTACATTGTCTTCGCTGTAAGCTCCGACATTCGTTACAAGCGTCTTTGTCAAGCTTAGTTATGCTTGCATAGCGAGAAAGAGTGGGCAGAATAGGAAGTATGCAGGATTATAAAGACAGAAACGGGGGATAACGGAGCATTAGCGAAAAGATTCGAGCGACGCAGCTAAACTTGGAGAACACATTTCTCTCACTTGTAGCGTTTCATTTCTTAGTTGTTGTTGTTTTTAGGGCAGGTTCCGTATATGCACATTCGTCCACAAAGCCTACTGCAGGGGGAGAAAAAAAGACAGGAAGCCATTTGCATTTAAATTGGGTCACCGAGCGCACCACGGCACCGGCCGCGGAACCGTTTAGTCGCGACGTCAGGTCTTCTTGCGGGGGATTTGCCGTCAATGAGACAAGCCAAGTGCGCACTCCAGCCGACACTTAGTCCTTTGTGTATGCGCACGATTTGACAGCCTTCGCGCTCCCGCATTGTCTTCCGGTAGAAACTTCCGGCAGATCTCACGTGTGCGCATAATGTAAACCCCGGCTTATACTGTCGCCATTCCCGTGCCTCATTTGCTTCAATTTAGCATTTTAAGTGTAAGCGTAATATAAACTTTTGCTCGTACACTGCCACCAGCCCCGCGCCCTATCACTGTCGTTGTGAGTGTTCAAGCCGGGCTCCGTTTATCACAGGCGCTTTTATTGCGGCCGCTTAGTTGCGAGTCACTGATGGACTTCCCCCTGGGGCCTATGCTTGATGGTCTTATGTATGCGTCAGGACGTGTGCTGTACCTCGCAGTGCACGCTAAAGCACGTCTTTAACGAGCTGTTTATTGCCTTCCAATAGCACTTGCGACACTTAAGGACAGATACAATGGCAGCATGTCCAACGCGTAATAGTTAACTTCCGTAACGCCACTATAGCAGCAGGTCCTACGCTTAATAGTTAATTTCCGCAACGCGGTATAGCTTGCCGGTTCTGACGAACGCTTGCAAAAGCAGTATACGCACAATAGAAAACGCCCAGGGCCAGGCACTCAGAGTTTGTCTTGGATTACCACGCTGTACATCAACAGCGGAAACCATCGCAATCGCCAAAGATCATCCGGCCACTGTGCACATTACTTTGGAGGTGCTTAGAGCTCATATTAGACACCTTGCTCGCGCCCCTGCCCACCACCTAGCTTCGCTTCCAGAAGATCGACCCGAGTGCCTCCTTCTGTAAGAGAGTATTGGACTTTCCGTGAGTGCCTTCCAACAGTCTACACACCTCCGTAACGGATACTAACACCTCCTTGGTGCTTGGACCGACCAAAACTGCGCTTGACAGTGCCGGGGATTCGCAAGAAGGCGGAGCTCTCGGCGCCAGCTTTAAAGCAGATGATTCTACTCATGCTACACGAAGAATACAAAGATCATGTCAAACTTACACGGATGGCTCGACAACTGTTGGAGGATCTGCAGGAGCTGTGATCTTCCCAGCAAGAGCCGAAACCATCCAGTTCAGAACGTCACACAAGACGACATCGACAGCCGTGGAGCTCGCGGCACTCCGCAGCGCACTCCGCAGGATTGACCAAGAGACACCACAAAAATGGAGCATTTTTACTGATTCGAAACCAGCTCTCCAATGTCTACACAATACTCTACGTCGTGGACCTCAAGATCAATTGGCGCTCGAAATACGACAACTGTACCATCACCTAATAGACGAAGGACATGACATATCTTTTCAGTGGTTACCAGGCCATTGCGGCATCATCGGTAACGAGCATGCCGACAATGCAGCTAAGAATGCTCACGAAAATGGAGTGATGGAACCTATTCCACTATCAAGAAGCGACGCAGCAGCAAAGATTAATACGCTTGCGCAGGATGTCGCAAGGTCTATGCGGAATACGCCCGGTTTTCTCCACACCCGTCTTCACCGCCTGGACCCATGCCTACGACTTACTATTCCATCTGCCTACCCCGATCCGAGACGACCCTTCTCTGCCGTAGTGGCTTGGGGTGTCTTTCACGAACGCTTTTGCCTGCCGCATCGGAATGAGAGACAGCGCTACATGCGATCATTGCGACAACGACGAAACAATTGAACATATTTTATGTCAGTGCCCCCAGTACAGCTCTCAGCGACAGTCCCTCTCAGCAGTGTTTGCTCGCCTCGACGACCAGCCATTTCTGAGCAGTCAATCTTGGAATGTCGGAAAGATCGAGCTTCACGCCAGAAAGCAACGAGGCGCTGATGAAGTTTCTGCGAGCGACCCGCCTCGTTGAACGATTGTGACACTACTGTGTGCGAGTGTGTGTATGTGTGTTTGTGCTTCTCTTCCTCCCTTTCCCCTTACCCTTTCCCCAGTGCAGGGTAGCAAACCGGATATGTTTTCTGGTTAACCTCCCTGCCTTTCCGCAATGAATTTTCTCTCTCTCTCTCTTTCCGCAACGCCACTTGATATCGGACAAGTTACTTTTGGGTACGCGCTTGTGGTCTTACATTTACTTCCGGATTCAAGTTTCGGCGTCTGATGTTCACTTTGGATTCGTGAAGCCTAGCAGTATGTAGGCTCCAACAAGGCAAGTTGAATCAGCTGCGTAATTGAAGGGTTCATTTCTAAGTTCCAGGTTTATCACCATGACGAAACGATGCCATGGCTCCTTCCGTAGACTTCTTTACACTAGCAAGGCTCGTTTATTAAAAAAACACCAAACTTACACATGGCGCTTCGTTTCTATTCCCGACGCAGTCAGATATTCAAAAACAATTACCAGGTCTCAACCAAAGTATTGCAAGCTACTTCTGGGTGGGGTTCAAGTCATAGCACCATTGTGGAACGCTCCGGTTTGATTCTCACAAGTTGTGGGCGTTCAATGTGCATTCAATACCAAGAGCACTTGAGTTTCCGGAAACCGTTTCCGTTACAACCGAGGCGAACACAAGACCTTGTGGCCAGTAGCAAATCACCGTAACCATGAAGGCACCATGGCGAATACCTGCAATCTATATGCCAGACGTCGCGCTGATTCTTCTATATTTTCTCTATACTCCCCACTTCCCGAGAGAGTGGGCAGGCGTTGTGCCCCTCTAGGTAATAGTAGTCAGCCTGCTCCCTCCCCATTTTCTCTGTGTCGTGTGTGTTTATGTGAAACAGTACAAAAAATACTTGCGGAGAAAGAATACTACGTAGTATAGTTGTCACAGTCGCTATACCTACATGACGGAGGATTGCAGATAAACTGCTAAGTAAGCGCGCCATGCCGATCCTCCTGCATTCAGACCATCATATACAGACCGTTAAAGTCACACGGTTATACGTACACAGCCACAGACAGACAGTCACAATAAAACAGTCCCAGTAAGACCATCACATGCAGGGTCAAATTACGCATTCCTTAGTCCAACAGGCTGTCGAAACTTTTGACTGGTAACTAGTTTTGGGCCCTTCTTCAGCGTTAACCATCGCTTAGCAGGCGTTCTTACATCCCGACAGGAAAGGCGCTAGCGACGCAAGGAGTCGGATTCCTAATGTACCAAGTCGCAGAAACGCAGCAACCACTAAGGCGGCTCTGTTGGCACGCGCAAACTAAGAGCAAACACGCATGCACGAGTACGAAGGGCCCGCAATGTGAGAAAACAGATGGTCGCAACGAAACATAGCGTACACTCGTACATATTTGCCGACGTGCTTTCGGCTGCTGAGGATTAAGTGGACAGCAGGCGCGCTAATCTGGCAAGCTCCTCCACGAGGACCGCGTATACAGAGCTCGCAGAAGGCGTTCTATGTGGCTGAAGCAGAAGCGGAGGGAAATGTAGCATGCGGCAAAAAAAAAAAAAAATCTAGACGAAACAGCGAAATGTAGAAACGCGTAGAGTCGGCTTTCCGCACTTCCCATCTTGTAAAAGGCACTTTTCTGGTACAATGTTGTCCCTCGTACAGTTGCGATAAAAGCCCCATTCTTCTTTATGTGCACATCACGTTGGAATCATTCGTGGCTGCCAAAGGCGGGGCTAGTCGGCTCACAGAGCGGCGGTGCAAGACAGTTGTGTGCAGCCCGACGTACATCACAAGTCGGGCTGATGTGAATTCCTCCTTTGTCGTTATAATAGTACCACCGGTGGCTGCAACGCATATAACTGCATTTACTCAAGATGTATATTCTAATAAAAAATCAGAACAATAAAATGGAAATGTCCACAGTAAAATTCCACGACTCCGCAGAGGATAAGTACCACCTGTACACATGATCGACTGTGCATATAAGGCAGGCGCCCTAGC